CCGCGGTGCCCGCGGTGCCGTTTTTCGGAACCACACTCAGTTCTGACCGCCCAGTCAGTTTTGACTCATGGTGACCTTATAGGACAGGGTAGAACAGCTACTGTAAGTTTCTGATACCAACTCCTTATGGGAGTAGAAAGCCTCGTCTTTCTCCTGTGGAGTGGCCTGTGGTTTGGAACTGCTGACCTTGCAGTTAGCAGCCCAACACATAACCTCTATGCCATCAGGATTCCTGGAGCCAGGCTGTTGGGGTCCAGATCCCAGCCGCCTGTTGGCTCACTGTGCGCAACCTGGTGAGCTGTGTAAGTGCTTTGTGCCCAGTTTCTTTGACTGGCAGTATTGATTAGGGTGGCCTTAGGGTTTCCAGGAGGATTAGAGGAGTTAATATTTATGCCATGCATTTTTAACAGTTTTATGGAAAAAGAATTCACAAACCGTACAATTCAATAGTTCAGTTGTATTAAGAAGAGTTGTACAATTATCACCACAATCAATTTTAGAACATTTTCTTCTTTCTCATACTCATTGTTCTTGGCTCTCCATTTTCCCTAGCCTTCCCTGCTGTACCCCCAAGAAGTTACTAATCCAGTTACGGTCTGTAGATTCATCTATCCTGGATTTCATCTACAGAAATAAACCCTAAAATAAATAACAAAACCCCAGCAATAATAACAAAGCACAACAGCAACAAACCTTAGTTGAAAATAAAGCAGGGACTATTAGAAACCAGAACAAATTTAAAATGGGAGATCAAATGATAAGGTGTCACGTTTTAACCTAACGGCAGCCGTTGCACATGTTCAGACCGTGTAGATGGTGTGTGTGTGGTACTCGGCGCCCTGTCTGACATGCAGGAAGCACAGGGCACCTGGGTGTCTTTCTCCCACACAAACACATGTCAAAGGGAAACAGCCGCCTGTAGCACCCCTTCCCCAGCCCCACCCCCTGCACCAGGCCCTTAGTTACACATTCTCTGTCCCCCTGGCCCCCCATGGGTTTACTTGGCATCCCATGGTTTAATAGCTCATTTGCATTTTTATCCTTAGCTCTAGGTTGGGAGCTGCTGCTGGTCCCTAGCCATGTTTGGTGTTGTGATCCTGCCTCCCCTGCAGCATCAGGAAGGAGGGAGTCCCCCTGGCTCTCCCTGGGCTCTCCAAGTCACTGTATTTTTAAAAATTTGCAAAATAATGCGCAGTGAATGGAAAACAGAACCCCCAAACTATCTTTCACCTCCAATTGTCACATTGTCAATGTGGACTGCTTTTCCTCATAGTTGTGTATGTGTGTGTGTTTGTGTATGTGTATGTTCGGTGGTATTCTCGTTGCAAACTGGTTTGAACCAGCTGGCCCGCGTTCCTTCTGGTACCTGTACCTGACTACACTTATCACTGCTAACTGTTTGAACAGTGAGGTGTGTGCTCATTGGCTGAGTGTTACTTTTGCCTTCTTGTTCCCAGCGTGGAAGCCAGTCCCCCGAGCCGAGGATGTCCTCTGAGCAGCCTGCTGCCTTCTGCCTCGGTGCCAGAGTCCATGACGATCAGTAAGTACCGCCAGGGCCACGCGCTGCACTGCGACGCCACTGTGCCCTTGGTGTGGGCGTGACGGTGGCCTCCAGAGCCGTGTGCTGCCCTGGGCTGCTGGGGGCTACTCTAGCGGCCTCCAGTGGAGGGGAAGCCTCGTGTTGCTCAAGGTTTGGGAGTTTGCCTCCTGCAGGGCAATCACTTTACTTATACAGGGGCTGTTGTAGTTCATTTCTGCTTTGTAATTCTGAATGAGTTCATTCTGTCTGTAAGTAGCGAACACTGCATTTCTCAGAGGTGAGTAGAGGTGGCCAATGATCAGACTCAACCCCTGAGGACCCCTTCCAACCAGTAGGAGTGTTAGTGATTCAGCAGTCGGTTCAGATCAGGCTCGGAGGACTTTCTGCCACAAAGCAGGAGCCAGCAGAGGCTTCACGCAGGGACCTTCATCTCTGCCTCCAGAGGTAGGCTGGCCGGTGCC